CTGAATCCATTTTTTTCAATTTTCTCTGAAAACCAAAAAGTAATTAAAAGTAATTTTATAATAATCTATTATAAATATCTGTATATATTATAAATATATTACTATATACAAATTTACCATTAATTCCATTTTTCAACTTAATAATCATCTGGAGCATTTAATGTTGGCTTAATCGTTAAACGGTAATCAAATTTTAATGTACCAAAAAATCTCAAATAAAATAAAATTAACAATCAATCATGATTACCATTCTTCGATAATGACACTACTTACTCCAGATACGATGAATCTCGAAAGTATCACCTATTGTTTTTATTCGCATCCTTGCTACGATGAAATCATTCAAGAACATCCACCTTAAGGATATTTAAAAGTTTGACGGATATGGATGAAATTGACAAAACGTTTTGAAAACATATTTTAAGAATAAAAACTGACCACGCATCCCGGGCGAATCCTCATATTTCTCGCAATGCCGCCCGTCGGGCTCGGGCCGCGTATTCTTGTTCCCTAAGTGCAGGAAAACGTAACTTACTTCGTCCAATCAGTGGAACGCCGTAGTTATATAGGCGCGTATTCTCCCCCAGTGCCATCGTCTGAAGGTGACTTGTGGTGTGTCTGGGCCAGATGGTAAAAGTGGTGGTAAAATCGGCCTGGAGGTGGAGGTAGGTCCCATAGTTGGAGGAAATCGAGACACGATAGTGGTGGATTCCAACGAGACTATGTTACGGAAACTCGACTGTTCAGCGTTGGGACCAATCTCGTTTTTTACTTTTTGTTAATTGATTAGATCACATTATTCACATTGATGCGAAAAATGTGTTGTGACGTCATCGAAAGCCTTTGCATTTTTCTCTCCTGGATTTAAATTTTTATGATATATGTTTTCGTTTCCTTTTTAAATTATGTATAACATACATCTTATCTTTCAGTATAATCATATTTACCTTTCATTTTATTCTTTTACATTTTATTATACTGATATATCTCTGAAATCATTTAAAAAATTGAATAGATATCTTTAAAGTTGATTCCTTATATTTTACTTTATGTTTTATATATCGATGTCATATAATTCTTCTGATAATTAATATCGTAAATCTTACGAATAATACGTGCATAATAATATTTTATTAATTATCCCAACGGAAATTGTAATTATTTATTAAGTTCAAAAGAAACTTAATCCCATCGCTATGTTCTCTCCTTCCTCCTTGTCCACCTCCCAGACCAACGATCTTTCTTTATACCACGAGGGGCCATCGTTCCGGAGAAAGTGATCGGGAACGCGATCCGGTCGGGCAAGCCTTACGGTTTCGCTCTCTTGATATTTATGCGGCTCTGTCCAGTGAAGGCGAAGTTCATGGAGAGGCAAGGTTATGTAGCAAGGTTATACCTGGTGCTCCAGATTACCTAGATGGAAAAGTAATGGCAAAAGGAGATCGACCGTACCACATCGTATTTCACGCGAATTTTTTCCTCTTCAATGATTGACTAACCGTTTTTTATGTCCGCGTAGGTTTCTCTCCCGGAAGATTCCAGGAAGGTGGCTCCATGGTTGGACCACCATCGTTTTTCCTTTCACATATTCTGTCATCATTGATTGCCATAAAGGTGTCCGATTGACGCGAAATTATCACTTGAGTGAACCAAAGTTCTTTCCTTTCCTGCAAATAGTTAAAAAATTTTATATATTGTATTGTTAATACGTTCGATATTCTAAATGGGGATAGAAATTTTTATACGTTATAATTTTTAAGAATGGTTAATATTAAACGATTACAGTAGTTTGGATTAAAATATTTCCAATATTTGTTTCCAATTTTTTAAAATAAATAATTTAACTGAAGTTATTATTTATAAACTTAATAAAAAAATTAATTGTTATTGCAAAAGAATCATTGTATATATTTTTCTTTCAAATGAAAATCAACTTCTATTTATTTTTTTCATTATTTCTAATGTGTTTTCTTTCATTAATTAAGCATTCAAATCCAAATAAAATATGTTTAGAAAATTTTATTTTAAATTATTCATCATGCGACAAATAGTATGCAGTAATATGTTATTTAATCAAACTTTATTAAAATTTGTAACAAGATCACTACAAGATGTGAACAAAATGAATTTTACTCTTAATAGAAGAGATATAAAAAAGAGAGAAGTTATGTTCTATGTATTATATACTTTTGCAAGATTTATGTCTGAAACGAAACAACGCGCGCAAATTATGGCGGCATTGCGTTTTATTTGAAAAGCTCATAATCACAGACGCCTGCACTGGTGAAAGTACACGCTAAAGCGGAAAGAAACATTATAATGCAAAAGCAACGATTCGTTATTTAAATAATTTTCTTTGAAATTTTAACCATTGGCAATTGTAAAATTTGTTTCAATATTTTATCGATAAATTTAATGAGAAATAGAATTTAAAAAAAAAAATAAATAAAAGCACGGAGAAATATAATAAAAATTAAAGATCTATGAAAAATAGATAATGAAAATAAAAAAATAAAAATTATAACCTAAAAAAAATAAATACTACGAAGAAATATAAAATATAATATTCTTCGCTTCAAAAATTTGTTTAATTGAGTGATAATTATCTAAATTCGCGTGAAATATGCAATAAAAATACATGTATATTCATGGAATGAAAGTGAATTCTTCATTTTACAGAGTCAGATGCCTGATTGCACATGAAATTTTTACGATATGTTTCAAGTATTCTAGTTCGTAAATCACTTAGTCACCTAGTTGCTCCAGATATTCAGGTTTGTATCAAAGAATAGTTCAAACGGACGTTTCACTGTTTCTTCGTGTCTGGGATATTAGTTTTCGCCTGATATTTTTTTTTTAACTTCAAAAAAAAAAAATTTATTGTTGAAAATTGAAACTCATTATTCTTAGAATATTAACATTTTTTTTATGAATTATAATAGCTTTAAGTCTATATAATTGTGTATCGTAATTTAAAAGATAAATGCGAAATAAA